GTGGCTTAGGAGATGAGTGGAAGACGAAGTTGGTGTCCGTATGCACAGACGGAGCTGCAGTGAACGTTGGAGTTTACAACGGGGTAGTCCCCAAACTGCGTAAACTGGTGGCGATTCCCTTGTGCATATTCTTTGTACCGCCCACACCCTCGAGAACTGCGCCAAGTCAGCTGATCGCCTGGTTCCATACTGTGAGACATTTAATAGCTCCGTTGTCAAGCGGCTACGCTTTTATTTACAGAAAGGGGGCGCCAAAAGAACAGAACAACTTAAGGCGAGACACCCCAGGTGAATTAAGGTAATTTTTTTAACTTAAAGGTATCAGCTAGACATTTCTCCAGTTAATGACTTACAATAAGGCAATTGTCTTTTGTATTACAAGTTTTCTGAAATAGCATGTTTAAATATGCAAATTATCCATTATCTCATTAAATATGCACATATTTTAACACATTTCAGGAATCGAAATCTGAACTTTGGATAAAGCCAGGTTCAAAATTCTCGTTTCATTTTGTAGTCATATTAGCATCTAAGGCTTTTACAGAAGGGATATTGGATATCTCTTTTTATCACTCCATAAATCAGAAAATACTGTCAACAGCCCTAAAATATCCATTTTCGCCATGTTTTTAGGTACAATGTTGTATAATTCCGGCTATGAATGATATATGAACAAACCCTTCTGGAAAAGCCTTCATAATATTGATAGGAATATAACTGGAAGGTTTGGTGTATGTACGTGCTACTGAAGTTGACATTTCGAACTCAGAGTAGGAGAAAAAACTCATTTTGAGAAAACGACCTTTAAAGATTGCAGTGAGGCGCTAGCTAAACCCTCCTGTTCTTTGGATGACAGCTTGCGCATCGACGCACTCCGTGAAGGTATTTCATGTTCAGGGTCATTTTTTTTGTCTAACCTTGCTTCGTGCAAGTGACAATTGTTGTCGTCTTCTCTGTGAACGTTTTTTTCGCCGTTCTTTTGGCATTTTGAGATTTCAATTTCTAGCTGAAAGCTAACCAGGAAGTGTTTTAGCACACCACGTGACGCATCTGAACGAATCACGTTGTCAGAAGTTGACACCAGCCAATAAGATTTCGTTTCTTGGTTTCAGACCCCTTTGTGCTTTCACGATTGGTTGCTGATACAAAGGAAATGACCATATTTGGATCCGATGAGATTGTGCAGGAGAGACGGAGCTTTCCAGCGATACCTCTGTTGACATGGTGCACACAGCGGTCGCGGTACTTTATGTTACGTTAGAATGCTAACTTTTGGTGAATTTAGGAGAAATCTACAGACGCAAATAGACAAACTATAGTACAATAAACACTTAAATGTGTATTTTGTACGTTTTCCTTCCAAAAGCCTGAAAGAAAACATGTTATAGAATCAAAATAGCACAAAATCTCAAAATTGACCAGTACTTGAAAAACGATGTTTTTGCCTGCCGTGTCTCGCCTTAAGATGATATGTGATGAGAATGGCATTGCCTTTGTAAAACTAGGAAAGTTTCACAACATTAGATGGTGTGCATGGAGACAAGAGACTCTTTTGAAAATATGGAGGCTATTACCTGCCATTCAATCTCAAGTGGCTACAAGTGATGACCGTGACCTAAAACATGTCTGCACAGAGCGTTTTAAGTGTTTCTTAGCCAACATGCTTGACACTGGAAACATTTCACAGTTCACCTCCCTCAAGTTCCAGCAAGAGAATTTAACTATTGGTGAATGCAAGGATGAGCTCATGGCAGCTATCGGACAGCTGACACTTCTGCTTGACAGTGAAGGCAAGTACAGGAAAGAGACTGTTTCAAATGCTGATTCTGACAGGGACAAGGTTGATGTATTGAGCTCTAATTCAGGAGCTTGAAAGCAGATATGAATCCCTCAAGTCATGTGATCCATTTGTAATGTTTGATCCTTCAACTTGGCCTAAAGAAAAAAAAGATCTCCACAGTTTTGGCAACACAACACTGACTGACATTCTTCAGAAATATGAGGCCATCCTGTCGACAGAGACTCCACTGTAAGAGATGCTTTTAAAGCAAGCAGGAAAACGTTTGGCAGCGTTCTCTGTGTATGACTTGGTCAACATTCAGAAAGTCCTGCTGTTGTCCCTTACACTGCCCTTGAGCAGTGCTTCATGTGAGAGGGGATTTTCACATCTTAATATAATCAAAAGCAAGTTCAGATCCTGCCTGTCAGACTCTCGCCTCTCATCCCTGATTACATCCACTTGTCTAAGATGACAACAGAGACTTTCTGTTGACTTGTGGATGCAAGCAGCTAATCGCAGACTCAACCAGAGAGAAAGAAGTAGGCCTACATCATCAGCTACCATGTCTGACAGAGAGGAAGACAGTGAGGAGAGCAGTCAGGAGGGAGTGATGACAGCTTGTAGGATTACTGGTCGTGCTAATGTTGTCTTGTGTTCACCTCTGCGTGTGTGTTCTGTGTTCACCTCTGCATGTGTGTTTAGTGTTCACCTCTGTATGTGTGTTCAGTGTTCACCTCTGTGTGTGTGTTCTGTGTTCACCTCTGCATGTGTGTTCAGTGTTCACCTCTGTGTGTGTGTTCAGTGTTCACCTCTGCATGTGTGTTCTGTGTTCACCTCTGTGTGTGTGTTCAGTGTTCACCTCTGCATGTGTGTTCTGTGTTCACCTCTGCATGTGTGTTCTGTGTTCCCCTCTGCATGTGTGTTCTGTGTTCACCTCTGCGTGTGTGTTTAGTGTTCACCTCTGCATGTGTGTTCTGTGTTCCCCTCTGCATGTGTGTTCTGTGTTCACCTCTGCATGTGTGTTCAGTGTTCACCTCTGCGTGTGTGTTCTGTGTTCACCTCTGCGTGTGTGTTCTGTGTTCACCTCTGCGTGTGTGTTCTGTGTTCACCTCTGCGTGTGTGTTCTGTGTTCACCTCTGCATGTGTGTTCTGTGTTCACCTCTGCATGTGTGTTCAGTGTTCACCTCTGCATGTGTGTTCTGTGTTCACCTCTGCATGTGTGTTCTGTGTTCACCTCTGCGTGTGTGTTCTGTGTTCACCTCTGCGTGTGTGTTCTGTGTTCACCTCTGCATGTGTGTTCAGTGTTCACCTCTGCATGTGTGTTCAGTGTTCACCTCTGCATGTGTGTTCTGTGTTCACCTCTGCATGTGTGTTCAGTGTTCACCTCTGCATGTGTGTTCAGTGTTCACCTCTGCGTGTGTGTTCTGTGTTCACCTCTGCATGTGTGTTCTGTGTTCACCTCTGCATGTGTGTTCAGTGTTCACCTCTGCGTGTGTGTTCTGTGTTCACCTCTGTGTGTGTGTTCTGTGTTCCCCTCTGCATGTGTGTTCAGTGTTCACCTCTGCATGTGTGTTCAGTGTTCACCTCTGCATGTGTGTTCAGTGTTCACCTCTGTGTGTGTGTTCTGTGTTCACCTCTGCATGTGTGTTCAGTGTTCACCTCTGCATGTGTGTTCAGTGTTCACCTCTGCATGTGTGTTCTGTGTTCACCTCTGCATGTGTGTTCTGTGTTCACCTCTGCATGTGTGTTCAGTGTTCACCTCTGTGTGTGTTCAGTGTTCACCTCTGCATGTGTGTTCAGTGTTCACCTCTGTGTGTGTGTTCTGTGTTCCCCTCTGCATGTGTGTTCAGTGTTCACCTCTGCATGTGTGTTCAGTGTTCACCTCTGCGTGTGTGTTCTGTGTTCACCTCTGTGTGTGTGTTCAGTGTTCACCTCTGTGTGTGTGTTCTGTGTCACCTCTGCATGTGTGTTCAGTGTTCACCTCTGTGTGTGTGTTCAGTGTTCACCTCTGCATGTGTGTTCTGTGTTCACCTCTGCATGTGTGTTCAGTGTTCACCTCTGCATGTGTGTTCTGTGTTCACCTCTGTGTGTGTGTTCAGTGTTCACCTCTGCATGTGTGTTCAGTGTTCACCTCTGTGTGTGTGTTCTGTGTTCCCCTCTGCATGTGTGTTCAGTGTTCACCTCTGCATGTGTGTTCAGTGTTCACCTCTGTGTGTGTGTTCTGTGTTCACCTCTGTGTGTGTGTTCTGTGTTCACCTCTGCGTGTGTGTTTAGTGTTCACCTCTGTGTGTGTGTTCTGTGTTCACCTCTGCGTGTGTGTTTAGTGTTCACCTCTGTGTGTGTGTTCTGTGTTCACCTCTGTGTGTGTGTTCAGTGTTCACCTCTGCGTGTGTGTTCTGTGTTCACCTCTGTGTGTGTTCTGTGTTCACCTCTGCATGTGTGTTCAGTGTTTACCTCTGCGTGTGTGTTTAGTGTTCACCTCTGTGTGTGTGTTCTGTGTTCACCTCTGCGTGTGTGTTCAGTGTTCACCTCTGTGTGTGTGTTCTGTGTTCACCTCTGCATGTGTGTTCTGTGTTCACCTCTGCATGTGTGTTCTGTGTTCACCTCTGCATGTGTGTTCTGTGTTCACCTCTGCATGTGTGTTCTGTGTTCACCTCTGCATGTGTGTTCTGTGTTCACCTCTGCATGTGTGTTCAGTGCTGTGTGTCTGGCAAATAAAGATCCCCTCAAAAGTTAGTTTATTTCATTTTAAGGGTGAGCACCAAGCAACATCTCCAGGTGCTCCTCTGAGAACCAGGGCAACAAAGTGATGTGCACCCCTGGTTATTATACCGTCTTTCATCAGTATATTACAGGTCTCATATATATGCAGAAGCTCGTAAGAAAAGAGGCTGCATTTGGATCTAATTCACAGCCAAAGATCAAAGACACACACACACAGAGCTTGGGTTATAACACTAGCTTCAGTATGATCAAATAAAATACATTATATAAATAATTATTTGTATTATTATTACTGTTTTATAGAGCAAACCATAGAAGACAATGGAAAGAAAATAATTGCAGCAATAATTACTGCCTTTTATATTAATTATTTAAAACTCAAGAGCAGATTCAGGTTCTCTGATATTTCAAAGACTTCAGGCAGTGTGTGTGTGTGTGTGTGTGTGTGTGTGTGTGTGTGTGTGTGTGTGTGTGTGTGTGTGTGTGTGCATCTGACCTTCTTGTGTGCGCTGAAGATCCTCCTGAAGGAGTCCGGGTTCTTCTCGGCTGTCTTCCCTGTTGGAGGTCGGTGGGGGGGGCCGAGGCGCCCGGGCCACCACCCTGAGGCCGTCCTCCGAGAAATCAAGGATCTCTGCAGACCCCACACACACACACACACACACACACACACACACACACACACACACACACACACACACACACACACACACACACACACACACACACACACACACACACACACACACACACACACACACACACACACACACACACACACACACACACACACACACACACACACACACACACACACACACACACACACACACACACACACACACACACACACACACACACACACACACACAGACAGACAGAAATGAGAGGAGAATCTTTACTGCACGTCTGTGTCATGTGTTTTAGGTTGATAGCCCGTAATAAGGTCTGTGGTGGACACGGGCTGAAGAGGTTTTATTCTACGACATAAAATAGGTCAGTAAATACCTCACTGGTGAATTTAGAAACGGCGGTTGTGTGGGTGGGTGTGGGTGTGTGGGTGTGGGTGTGGTGTGTGTGTGTGTGTGTGTGGGTGTGTGTGTGGGTGTGTGTGTGTGGGTGGTGTGTGTGTGTGTGTGTGTGGTTGTGTGGGTGTGTGTGTGTGTGTGTGAGATGACAGTTTGCTGCTATGAGGGTCAAAATGATGGGCTGTGAATGAGTGATGGTGGGTGTGTGTTTACATATCAACATGACAGAGCTAATCTCTACAGTCACCAGTTACACAAACACAACTCTCCACTTCCTGTGTACTACATATTTTATTGTGAGATACCAATACATCGTTTTAGATACTTACTTGTTATTATTTTGCTATAACAAAGCATTATTTAGAGAAGGTTCTCATTGAAAATGTCTTGTGTTTCAATACGAGGTCATAATAACAAAGAAAGTCGTTGTTTTCAACAAGTTAGCCATTATTTTTGGGATCGTTTGTCATCATAACGCCTTCAGGGAACTTTTTAACGTTTTTCGGAAATTGTAGGAACTGTTATTTTTTATTTTGGAATCTTTATTTTAATGGTTTAAAGTTGTTAAAATTAACTTGACATATGGTGACAACTTACCTAAAGTAAGGTTCTTGGTAGGGATGGGTACCAGGACCCCGGTATTAAACGGGCCCCGGGGCTGAATTATTAAAGACCGTGGTATCGTTAAGCTCCGACGTTATCGGTCTTTTTATCGGTACTGGAGACATGTAAAACATATGTCGTGTGTGTTATTGCTACACAAACATTATATTGCAGTTTTAGTTTCGCCAACTCCGTTTCTAACACGCAAAAAGTCTACAAAATGCGTCTATGATTATTTTTAGTATTTTCGATCTTTCCAATCCAGAGATCTCTCTCTCCCGTCTGTGTGCGAGGGGGCGGGGCAGTTTACACACCCAGCTGCTACATGCAGCAACACACGGAGGAGGTGGCGGAGAGAACGCACTCCGAGGTGGTTAAACTTTACCCGTCTCGATGCTCGTTACCTAAAGTGCAATAAGAGTTTAGCATGTGAGGGCGGTAACACGAGCAATGTGTCTAAACATTTATCAAAAGTGCTCCACATCCAGACGGAGGAATGCACCGGGTTCCACTGTCTTTCTAGCAGCTCTGCAGCCCCATCCACGAGGAACGTTTCCACGTCAGGTGTTATGTATGCTAGCAGCACCACACGGAGTTAACCACATTATACAAACATTAATGATTAGAGGAAACTGAGGTATTTATTTTGTTAAAGTTTCAGCTGTTCTGTTCACAGTTCTGTCATCAGATTATTTAATACGATTTGTTAAAACATTGTTGTTTCTTTTGATGTGAATTATTATTGATTTAATTTAAATAAAAAGCAATGTTAGTTTTGTTCACAATGTGTTAATTTACCTTGTTTTTTTCTCTAAAAGAACCGATAAGAGTATCGTTAAAAGACCGGACCGATAAGCAGTATCGATAAAAGTAGTAGTACCGTTAAAACCTTAACGATGCCCATCCCTAGCTCTTGGTGGGAAAAGGTTTGTTACCTGTTCGTATCCTGCTCTCCTTCTCAGCGTTCTTCTTGGTCTCCTTGCTCGGTCTGTCGAGCCTCTCGAGTCTCTCTGTCCTCTCGAGGGCCTCCAGCCTCTCCAGAGCCTCGAAGGGATCCGGAGGTTCTTCCGTTGGCGTTTCCTCCATCGGCTCCATCGGGGCTCGCTGAGCGGCGGCTTCCTTCTTCGCTCTTCTCCTAGCTTTTGCTCCGCTGTCGTCCTCGTCGTCTTCTTCTCCGTCGCTCATGTCGTCGAAGCCGAAGTACTGGATCTTGTAGCTGTTCTCGGCGCTGTTGGTCTCCTCCTGATGGCCCTCTGCTGCGTCTTCGAAACCGAAACTCTCCATCTTACTGTCCTTCTTTGACTTTGTCTGCGTTGGTTTGAACCTGAAGCGAGGATAGAAACACATTGTTTACAACTCAGGAAAAAGACAAAGAAATCCAGTGCTGGAGGGATGTTGTATTTCCGAGTTGACCCTGAAGGCAGCATCTCTCTGGTCCAATAGGAGTCTCCATTTTGTATTATGTCAGAAAATAAACTCTGTGTCAAACAAACATTTATTATACTTAGATGTTCAGCAGGATAATCTCCACACATCAACACCACTTTATGATTTCTGAAGTAAAAAGCTAAAGGAGGCTATAAAAAAACAATAGAACGCATCATCTCCAAACAACTCCACCGCCATCTCTAAACCAACAAGCTTTTTGAACCCCTTCAGTCTGGTTTTCGTCCACAGCACAGAAACGGCACTCATCAAAGGCCTCAATGACCTCCTCACCTCTGCTGACACCGGTTCCCTCAGCATCCTCCTCGACCCGAGTGCAGCCTTCGATACCGTGAGCCACTCCATCCTGCTCACTCGACTCCAGGATATCGGTATCGAAGGCACTGCACTCAGGTGGCTCCAGTCCTACCTCTCCGACAGATCCCACTTCATCTCCCTCAACAACCACTCCTCTGCCACAGCTTCAGTCACCCAAGGTGTTCCCCAAGGTTCAGTACTCGGCCCCCCTCCTCTTCATCATCTACATCCTGCCCCTTGGTCAGATTCTCCGCCAATACAACCTGGACTTTCACTGTTACGCTGACGACACACAGATTTACCTCAGCACCAAATCCCCCCAGAACCCCCCCCTCACCCACATCGAATCCTGTCTGACTGCAATAAAACCCTGGATGCAACACAACTTCCTCAAACTCAACAGCAATAAAACTGAACTCCTCCTCATCGGCTCCAAATCCACCCTCAGCAAAACCCCCAACCTGACAGTCACCATCGATGGCACCCCTGTTTCCCCCTCCACCCAGGCACGCAACCTTGGTGTTATATATGACCCCACCCTCTCCCTTGTATGGGCTCAGAACAGTCTCATAATACACACATGCACACAGAAGGATTCACACTTGTATTTCCGGATCCATACTTGTGTTTTTCAAAGCACACACAAATGTGTTCCGTTTCATATCCATGTAAATAAAATCCAAATACAGAAAAAAGTTTTACATATGTATTTTTGATCCTCACTTATTAGTTTCCCGTTTAAATCCTCTGCACCTGCAAACACAAACCGCTCTCTGTGCACGGGTCGCTTTGCATTCGTGTGTGGGTTTTTTGAGACTCCCCTGACGGTCAGCCGATTCGTACTTGTCATTTTTTCTATCTACAGCCAATCACATGTCTCCTTCATTCTAAGCCAATCACATGACCGCGCCCCCACGAGGGTAGGATTTCTTGCGTTCATGACACTTCATACGCATTTTGCGCAGTCCGGTCAGCTCGCTAAACAGAGGGCGGAGCATCAGGTGATCATGCAGAGCTGCGTGTCTCCGTCAGACTCAGCAGCTGATCTGATCTCTCTCTCGCGTCCGGTTATACTTCACTCGCGTTTATGTCCATATCGATCAGATCCAGCTCTCTTGATCGGCCTTTATAGAGAGCACCGATCAAACTATTAAGAGTGAATATCGGCCGATAATGACCGGTGGGGCTCCCCCCCGTTAACAGGTCACTTTCTAGCACTGGCTTTGTAGTGCACTGATCGAGTAGGCTAAGCTAACCTGTAGCTGCTCCCTCCACACTCACAACAACTTCATACAGACATAAATAAAGCAGCTGTATTCGCCATACAGGAAACACACATCTAAAACGGGTTTGTCTGCCGTTTGTGTACACAAGCATTCATCAATGGTTTGGAAAGTGGCGCTGTACCTTAATAATAAAAAGGCTTGTATTTGCGTGCATTTCCTGTTCGGAAAGTGGCGCTGTACTGAGAGTGGAGGTGTCCTGAGATTAGCGCCTGCAGGCTCCATGGACCTGTCAGCTCCGGACTGCGCAAAATGCGTACATGAAGCGCTACGTCATGAACGCAAGAAATCTACCCTCGTGGGGGCGCTCTCATGTGATTGGCTTAGAATTGAGGAGACATCTGATTGGCTATAGATAGAAATAATTACAAGTACGAATCGGCTGAGCGTCAGGGGAGTCTCAAAAAACCCACACACGAATGCACAGCGATCCGTGCACAGAGAGCGGGTCGTGTTTGCAGGTGCAGGGGATTTAAACGGAAAACTAATAAGTGAGGATCAAAAATACACATGTAAAACTTTTTTCTGTATTTGGATTTTATTTACATTTATATGAAACGGAACACATTTGTGTGCTTTGAAAAACACAAGTGTGGATCATGAAATACAAGTGTGAATCCTTCTGTGTGTATTATGAGACTGTTCTGAGCCCATACCCTTGAGCCCCACATCCGTCAAGTTGTAAAAACCTCATTTTTCCACCTCCGCAATATTGCCAAACTCCGTCCCTTTCTCACCCGCCCTGCAGCTGAGCGACTCATTCACGCCTTCATCTCCTCCCGCCTTGACTATTGCAACTCCCTCCTCTACGGCATCAGCACTACATCCCTCAGTAGACTCCAGCGTGTCCAGAACGCAGCCGTCAGACTCCTCACCCACACCAAATCATGGCATCACATCACCCCGGTCCTCAAAGAACTCCACTGGCTCCCCGTTTCACACCGCATCCACTACAAACTCCTGGTCCTCACTTTCAAAGCCCTCCACCATCTGGCCCCCCCCTACCTCACTGACCTCCTCATCCTCTACCAACCCCCCCGGTCCCTCAGATCCATCTCAGCCGGTTTGCTTTCCATCCCCAAGGCCAAACTCCGGAGCTTCGGGGATAGAGCCTTCTCTGTGGCAGCCCTGAAGCTCTGGAACTCCCTCCCCCAAGACCTCCGTGAGTCTGAGGCCCCGTCTCAGGTTGACTATTTTCATGTCCTCGCTCCTCGGTCCTCGGTCTCACCGGAAGTTGATTTGTCTGCGCCATCTTGAGTACCGTCCCATGGCTCTTATTTCTGCCGGAGGAGTGAGGAGCGATAATGAAGGAGCTATAACCGAGGAACCACCAGACCATCCTTCGATGAAATCCTCAGACACTCGCCCCGCCCCCTTACTGTGTACCGCTCACTGATTGGACGATGCAGCGCATTCTCAGTTTCCCAGCGGAGTGAAGAAAATACATGAAACTCACGGGAGTCCCTCCTCAGTTTATACTGTGTTTTGTTTCAATTCATGTTTCATTTAGTTACAAATATGTGATATATCTGAACAACAAAGTGGGCAAAAATCATTTTATTCATTTATTGGAAACATTTTCATGATTGCTTTTTTCGTTTTACATTTATTGTCATTTACATTCAGTCATTAAGTGCTATTGAAATGTTAATGTGCTACATATCCACACAAACACACAAAGTGTGCAATCCAATGAATGTTCATCTAACTGGGTTTTGATAGATAACATATCTCTTTTTCTTCTCTCAATTATTTTATTTCTATTGTGCACTCTAATCAATATTAATCAAACTAATGTTCGTTTATACATTTTAATAATGGCGTTTATTTTGTTTAGAATGAGTTCTTATTTTATTTCATGTATTGGGGTCTACAACAGATGATACAAATGTGTGTGTCAGTAAATGTGTGCTAACAGAGGCGGGGGTGTGTGTGGAAACAACGGGGACAGAGCTGCTGTCAGACGATCAGCTGTGCAGCGTCATCACAAACGGATGTCGCTTCACGTGACGCTCCGGAGGAAAGGACGTCCCCTTGCTCTTAAAACTCATTTCCCTGCTTCTCGTGGTTTCCTTGAGGGAAGCAAGGAATCCATTTAACCGACCTGAGCCGGGGTCTGAGTCCCTCACCCTGTTCCAGTCCCGCCTCAAAATCCACCTCTTCAACTCTGTATCCATAAAACTACAGCACGGTCACATGACTTGACGTCACCATCGCTAAGCTAAAGGAGGCTAATGTTGGGCTATAAAGGAACTACAGCACGGTCACATGACTTCACATCACCACCGCTAAGCTAAAGGAGGCTAATGTTGGGCTATAAAGGAACTACAGCACGGTCACATGACTTCACGTCACCACCGCTAAGCTAAAGGAGGCTAATGTTGGGCTATAAAGGAACTACAGCACGGTCACATGACTTGACGTCTCCACCGCTAAGCTAAAGGAGGCTAATGTTGGGCTATAAAGGAACTACAGCACGGTCACATGACTTGACGTCTCCACCGCTAAGCTAAAGGAGGCTAATGTTGGGCTATAAAGGAACTACAGCACGGTCACATGACTTCACGTCACCACCGCTAAGCTAAAGGAGGCTAATGTTGGGCTATAAAGGAACTTCAGCACGATCACATGACTTCACGTCACCACCGCTAAGCTAAAGGTGGCTAATGTTGGGCTATAAAGGAACTACAGCACGATCACAGGACTTCACGTCACCACCGCTAAGCTAAAGGAGGCTAATGTTGGGCTATAAAGGAAGTACAGCACGGTCACATGACTTCACGTCACCACCGCTAAGCTAAAGGAGGCTAATGTTGGGCTATAAAGGAACTACAGCACGGTCACATGACTTCACGTCACCACCGCTAAGCTAAAGGAGGCTAATGTTGGGGCTATAAAGGAACTACAGCACGGTCACATGACTTGACGTCTCCACCGCTAAGCTAAAGGAGGCTAATGTTGGGCTATAAAGGAACTACAGCACGGTCACATGACTTGACGTCTCCACCGCTAAGCTAAAGGAGGCTAATGTTAGGCTATATGGAGAGCATCATGAGGTATTACTGCCTGGTATGGTAACTTGACAGTGCAGTCAAAGTCACAGATCGCTCGCCTGGTTCAGACTGCTATGAAAATTATGGGGGTTAAAAAACACCCATCTCTCCAAAACATATACGAGCAGTCCATTATCAGACAGGCAAACAAAATGGTGTCTGATCCCACCCACATACTCCACCCAGAATTCCAGCTCCTACCTTCTGGTAGAAGATTCAGGGTTCCCAAGAGCAGGCTGAACCGCTATAAGCACTCATTCCTACCTATGTCCATTAAGCTTCTTAACATTCACATGAAATGAAATGTAGTCGAAGTCAAATGTAATGAAATGTACTTTTTTTAAATGTTGGCCATGAGGGTTGTGCAATAGGTCGCCATTGTCAGTATGTGCGTCTGCGTGTATTGTGTTTGTTCAAACGGTGTATGATTGATGATATGTGTATGTCTCTTAAATGTCCACTATGTTTGTATATTATGTACATGTATGCGGAACTGCTGGACGGAGCCCAGAACGAATTTCCTTACGGGGACAATAAAGTATATCGTATCGTATCGTATCGTATCGTATAAAGGATCTACATGTTTTAAGACTCATTCCTGCGACACGATGGATATAAGAATTGATTTATAAAATGATGCACTAAGGTCAGGTGGCTCCAGTAAAACATGAACCACATTTTAATCAAGATTTTCACTCTTCCCTGTTGAGGAAACTAATCTGGTAAGTATAGCAGATGAAAGCAAACTTAAATGAAAATGTGTCAAAATGTCTGACTGAATTAATCGTCCTCGGGAAAAAGCATTGAATGACACTCAAGCTTTTACTTGGAATCTTTCATTAAGAGATGAAAACATGCATGAAATGGAAAAAAATGTTTCACAGAACGATAACCTGTCTTTCCTGAGAGCCGTTGCTTTACAGAAGTTTCTCAGTGAAAGCCTCCAGACAGAAAGAGGTTGTGAAGTCACACAGAAAGAAATGTCTACCCCTCTGGAAATAGGTGCCATCGTTTTGATTCCTTTACTCAGGGATGAAATCTGAATTCATCTACAGACATGTCAAGGTTTCTCCATTTCCCCGTTGGATTGATAATTCTGATTCCACTTAGTGGCATATTCACTTTCTAGCAGGTCGTTCCAGCTCTTCATTTAAGATTCAGGATGTTTCCAATATCAAATAAGAGTTTGTAGATTTTAGAAAATCACATAACCCAAAATAATGTTCTCGTTTTGATACCAACTCTTTTCAGAACGTTTCCTTTTGTAATCATTATTTAAAAAGTCCTTATTCTGGGAACATTTGTTTTCATAATGACTTTTTAATCAAAAAGCTTACATTTGACTTTGTCCTGAAATGTTGTGGTGTGTGTGTGCGTTAGGGATGCCAGCGATTATTCGTTACAGTCTCGATAATCGAAAATTATTTTTAAAATTCGATTTATTTATATATGTTTTTATTATTATTTATGTTTCAACCAAAATATAGAATAATGCTAATAATAGTATTAATAATTGTAAATGGCCATTGGTCACACCACCAGTTTGTTTTACTGTAAACTTGGAGGAAGCCAGCAGCGCAGGCCCTTCGCCCTTCGCTGCGCTGCTACACACCGACCCCGCCCCCCCCCCCTCTCCGTCACACGTGCGATTGATTTATTGGAGTGAGAACACAACTAAAGATGAACAAAGGAAAGAAGAGTTCCTCGTGAAACTACTTCAAACTGACAGGTGCAAATGAATCAAATGCAAGCTCTGCGGAAAGACTTTGGTGTACCACAGCTCAACATCAACATGCGTTTGCATTTGAGTGGAGTACTTCGTGACCACAGAGTGTGAACGTTGTGATCAGCTGTTTTAGCGCAGTTCTCCAGTGAAGGGGGGGGGTCGAATAATCGATTATTATTCGCCAGGGCTGTCCGATTTTCGATCATGGTCAGTTTCTGGCATCCCTAGTGTGTGTGTGTGTGTGTGTGTGTGTGTGTGTGTGTGTGTGTGTGTGTGTGTGTGTGTGTGTGTGTGTGTGTTTATCTCTTACCTTGTGTTTAGTATCTCAGTTTTCTTCCGTTGCCACCCGGCCTCTCCCAGCTCCACGCTGTTGTTCCCCGACGCGGCGCCGCTGCTCCCGCTGGAGGGCGCTGCGTCCGCACTGAACTCCTCCCCCCCCCGGTCCTGGATGGTGACGTTACACATGGACACGGAGGAGGGTGGAAGCACCGTGAAGTCTCTGTTCCTTCCTCTTCCTCTACCTTCTCCTCCTTCTACTGTGGTCTTATCATTACCTCCGTCAGACGCAGATTTGGGCGGATCTGAGACAGAGTCCGATGTTTTTCCCTTGTTGGGCCTCCTGTACGTCCGACAGTTTGTGTTCCTGAGCAGCGACGAAGACGAGGAGGAGGAAGAGGAGGAGGTCGTCTGCATCTGCGTGGAATCCGTCGTCTCCATGAGGAAATCCAAGTCTCCCCCGAAGTCCTCGCTCAGGTTTGGGCTCCGTGGGGGAGACGGGGGTTTCTGATGTTGTGCGGAAACTCCGGCTGTTGCCCAGGAGAGCGTTGGAGCCGGGTTTCGAGGCTCCTGGATGCTGGGGGACGGAGGGCGGAGACCCATGATGTCGTCCCACGAGTCGTACGAGCATTCTGCCTTTGCCCCCGTTTTCAAAGTGGTGGTCTGAGGCAGCGGCTTCTTGTCGCTCTCCGAGGCGTTCAGGTACCACGAGTAGCTGTGCTGAGGCTCTGAGGAAGACGAGGAGGAGCTCGGAGGATTTCCTACGGGAGGAAACGGAATCAGAGTTGTCAAATATTGTAAAAGTTTATTTGAAAGAAGCTGCTTTTTTGGGGTTTTCCCTTTTCCTGTAATGTGTTCTATACGTCCACTGCAAAGCAAAAACTAAAACGAATTCATTCTGCTAGCCAAGGAGTACTACGTGTTTGTTCTGCCTGCAAAATATAACAGACAACAGAAAGTGAAATCAACTTGTGCTACTTGTATGTGGGGAAGAGCGGAGGGAAGCTCCCCCTCTTGGTAAACTATATTATCATCAACAGTCTCAGTTCTTGACGTCTTTAAATGTTGCCGCTTCACTATGATTTCGGAGGTGGTAGCTTTTAACTCCTGTGTTTACTTCCGGAACATCTTGAAATCTATTGAACACACGCTCTCCTGTTGTACCTGAAAGCTACAGTAACATCTTTCTATAGGTTTCAAAACAACACATTTTCCCAAACGTCCCCAATTTTGAAACCGGCTTCATTTATTCAAATGACGACCTCCAGAATACAATCAGCTCTGAGCACATGATTAGTTTTTGGTTAACTTCACAGACTTAGCAGAATGAGTGTGTGCATAACATTGCACTTCAAAAAGCACCATCACACTGAGGAGAAAGAATCAGTTTTGTCAAATATTGTAAAAAAGGCCCTATTCTGCTTTTTGGGGTTTTCCCATTCCTGTAATGTGTTCTATTGTTCTCTGTAAAACTACATCTAATGTATTCTGCTAGCCAAGGAGACCTCGACCTGATCCTGACTCAGAAAGCTGGCTACTAAATACAACAGAAAGTGAAATCAACTTGTGCTACTTGTATGTGGGGAAGAGCGGAGGGAAGCTGCCCCTCTTGGTAAACTATATCCTCATCAACAGTCTCAGTTCTTGACGTCTTTAAATGTTGCCGCTTCACTATCATTTCAGAGGTGGTAGCTTTTGACTCCTGTGTTTACTTCCGGAACATGAGCCATCAGCTCTGAGCACAAGATTAGTGCTACTATTACTTCACGGACTTAGCAGAACGAGTGAGTGCATAGTGAGTAAAGCAAAGGTTCCACGACCTGATCCTGACTCAGAAAGCTGGCTACTAAATACAACTTCTACGACTGCACGCTCTTATTGGCTAGCGCTCCAACACATTGTATGTACATCTGTGATGGAGCGGATCACATGAGTGACCGACTCCGCCACTGACAGCCGACACACACACAGTCACACACACACACTACACACACACCAAACATTTCCTGCTCTCTTCCTAAAAAGGAACCATGCAATTAATTATTTATTGTGTGTTTGTTAATTTGTTAAATGAGTATGTTAAGAGGTGGTTAACCTGTTTTATGTTTGGGTCGGATTTTTATGTTGAAATGTGGTTTGAAGTTTAATTGTTGTCACCTGTTGACGGTAAGCCTGTGGGAGGGGCTATGGGCTCAAAAGGGACGGGGTTTGGCCCTGGAGGAGTCACTCAGAAGAATGTTGCAGTAAAGGCAACAGCTGGGACATGTTTGGGAGTTTGTTGCAGAGAAGGCAACAACAGAACATGTTTACTCTGAATGAGTGATGGACGGCCTGTTTTGGATTTTTACTTTGTTTAAGGTGTGCTGTTTCGTTATTTGTTTGTTGCTGTTAAGAATAAAGGTTTTTGGAGTGTAACCCAACCGACTAGGCCAGTGTTTGTGAACGGACAAAATGAACCCCGTCACAACATCCTAACATCTTTCTATAGTTTTCAAACCAACACATGTTTCCAAATGTCTAGACTCTTTAAACCGGCTTCATTTAATCGAATTAAATAGTAGCTGGTTACGACTACAGAATACTATCAGCTCTGAGCACATGATTTGTTTTTGGTTAACTTCACAGATGTAGCAGTGTGTGCATAACGATTGCACCACTTCAAATAGCACCTTTACACACTGAAAACAGGACACACACTCCCAAGCTTCATGTCAAGGATAACACACACACGGCTAATAGCACGTCACGGACACGTCTGCCCGTCACAGATCACAAACGTATGAATATTACACTTGTTACTCAGAGCAGAGACAGGAAATTGCTTCGCAGCGTAACATCAAAGAATATCTGTATCAGCTGTGGGTTTATAGAACTGTGTTGATGAAGAGGCGTAAAGCTAGAAAGTAGGTCAACTAGCTGCCTAACTTTCAGAAGTTAAAACTCACAAAGGAACATCACATGTGGAGAATAGCAGAGGGCTTTATCATCCGTCTTTAACCTCTTTCCATTTGGCTGATTTACAACCATTTGAGAGTAGTTTGCCTTTCAGGAGTTACGGCCCGTCCACACGGCGGCGTGCGTTGACGCTTGCCGGCGGGCGTGTCTGAAACTCGACCAACAACCAATCACATGAATCTCCCGCCCCTGACTCACAAGCAGCGGTTTGATTGGCTAGAGCTTGTACTGGCATATGATTCGATTGGCTGACGCTTCTGCCGAGGCGACAAAAGTTGAACATTGCTCAACTTTTGCAGCGAGCCACGCCAGCAACGCTCCACGTCGCTTCCCACGATGCAGTTCGGCTAAAAGTGACGTCACCCCATTCAAAGTGAATGGGCAGAAGCGTTGGAAGCTTCAACGCACGCCGCTGTGTGGACGGGCCGTCAGACTCGATGACATCGCAGAGTGAAGCTACGTTTGGCGAGAACACAGGAGGATGAGGATTCTCCCAGACGACCCTTGACCTCTCACATCAAGAAACCTAGAAACAAATTCCCCTTTGTAGAGAGTGGTGCAGGATTCATTTATTCTGTTAGATTATTTAAGTGACCCTTTTTCTGTCTACTGAATTAAACCTTTGAAAAAAATGATATATATTATAAAATTCCTAAATTAACAGGATCTTAAAATCACTTCCTAAATACATTTCACAATAAAAGCATTTTGTGAAAGAAGAGATAATCGTAGAAAGATTTTATTGTGAAACTTCTGCACAGGAAGTGTTCCGCCTGTTAAAGCAAAGTAGAATAGAGCGGTGCAGCGTCCTAGAAGCTCCTTCCGGTTCCCTCGACAAAAATGCAATGAGGTTTCTCCATAGGTTGAAACACATTTAAGAGACGGACCACGTTTTGTTCAGCCGTTTAATTTCCACATGCCTACCCTACTTTTATAATTTTGGAATCATAACTCTAATGTCCAGAAGCAAAATGCTAACGTTATGCTATAAAGGAACTACAGCCGAGTGCAGCAGCACGGCTTCAACGTCACGCCGACTTAAAGGTCCTGTGGCCATTTCTGCTGATCATGATTCCATCGTTGAGGTCGACTAGAATAGATTCACTTTGTTCAATGTTCCAAACTCTCATTGGTTTCTCACAGCATCTCTGTAGAGTCTGTGTTTTCACTCTCTGTCCTACACGGCTTGTTGGAGCCCCCCCCCCCCCCCCCCCTGTGAGCCCAGCTCTGATTAGTCGGGACGTTGCGAGGCTCGCTGCTGCGAGGAGCGGACAGGTTTCCGGGTCGGCGATACAGCGAGAACAAGCGAAACTCATCCTGAGCAAACAAACACTCACAGCCGAAGTAAAAACAATAAGTGTGGCTTGATATCGAGAAAGAGAAAGGTTTCTAACGCTGTGAGAACGGGTCTGAGGAGAGCATTTCTCCACCATCCCAACTCGACTATTACCAACCAGGGAGCTCTATGCAAGTCAATGGGACTCCCTGTTAGTGAGCCAAGGGGTCCTGGTGTGTGAGGTGCTCCGCGGATTGGTCCATTTGGGCCAATCCGGTCATTTGTTGTTGATGTGGGTGTTCACACGTCACAGAACCCAGGAAGCAAACAATGGAAACAGATAAATGTCCAACGAGGCGTTCTGGGGCAGCACAGACAGGTCTTCTCTGTGTCAGAGTGTTACTCCCTACAGGGTGCACTCTGAGGGGTTGAGACTCTGCAGAGCGTTCACATGCAGAAGCTTCAGAACACAAGGGGACGGGTCAGAACCAGAGAAGCATGACATGGGACCATTAAGATCCATATTCAAATATACAGATTCTAAATGGTACGAGTTGAAGCATTTGTTTGAACAGCTTGCAGGAGGCAGGTACTTACTTTCAAACAAACTTAGAGGAGTGTTCACGTGTTCGGCGTAATGACGTACAACGGCCTCCACGACTTCTGTAGTCCTATTCAGCCACTTGGTAACAACCATCGTTTTTCAGACACGTCCACTCTTCAGAAATCACCAGCGTAGAACAAAACGTGATCCAAATGTGTCTCAAACACAGACCTTATTTCCAGCTATCCCATTGGCTCTGAGACGAGGGAACAGGAAGTGGAGAAATGCTGACTCACTTCCGGGTTTTCGGACGCGTCGCGGCACCGCTCTATTGACACGTTACTTAATGGGCATCTATTATTATTTTGTAATTGTATAGATGAAAGATGACACAGAAGCAGCACTGTCCAGATCCACGCAGGATTAAAGGCTTCGTGTATTAGATGATATCTTACTGTCATTGCACAGCGTAAAACAAAATGCAGTTTGCATCCAAGCACAAAGAGGAGTAACGAGCATGAGGTTTCCATTCGTTCACAGAACAGAACAATGCTGTAGAAATCAGGTAAGAATGAATGAATGTCTTGGAGGGTTTGTTTACTCCTGATAAGAGGAAATAAGTACTGAACCACTGAAGTAAAGTAACTTCCCAATGTGTGCAACTCACGTTTATTTGTTCTCTCAATGTATTTACAATTGGCATACGGCACCAGCTACCTCCATCATTTAATATATCGTCTGTATGCACTGCTACTCTTTACCATGGTGTACTTCTGCAATGTTTGTTGTTGTTGATAACTTGAGCATTCGTAGTTATTTTTCATTTTTTAAGCCAATCTTATTCACTTTATCCAATCACTTGTATATAGACTCTCCTTGCACTCTTCTGTTCTATTGTATTTGTATTTACTTGCACTATTTTAACTATTTATACTCTGTTACATTGTGTTGCATCGTTGGAGGAGCCTGTGACCTCAGATTGTCATTGACATATCTGCACTGTAGCTACGAACACAATAAAAGCCTTGACTCTTGAATGTTGGCCTTAACACTAGAACACTCAAGACCTTCCCAGGTCAGAGGTCTCCGTCTGTGTATTACCTGCAGTAGCAGTGCTGCTGTTGAAGAAGCGCGCCGTGTCCTCCACAATCCGGGGGGGCTGGCTCCGGTCGTTGTTCATCCACGAGGAGGCCCCTCTGGAGGCCGTCAGACTGTGGGTTCCCCCCCCCTGAAGGCTGGACATGCTCCCCATGTTCAGAGAGAGCCCCGCCCCCGGTCTCTCTGCCTGGGGGGGCTCGGCAGCGCTGGGTTTAGCGGGGGACGACTTGCTGCGAGACGACACCGGCTTGGACTCCTCGTCGCTGTCGAAGCCGAACGGATCCTCCATGCCGTCTCCGCTCGGACGGGGTCTCTTGTAGACCTCCAGAATCGAGTCATTTTTGGGCGCTCCGGCACGCTTTGAGCCCACCTTGGCTTTGTAGGTGGTGTCGCCCCATTTGGTGCTGAGGGTGCCTCTCTTGGTGGACAGAACCTCGTCGAACTTGGACGTGCCCTCCCCCCCCTTACGGCTGTAGGTTTTACCGAATCTGGATGTCATTGTTGCATCTGGGTCATTTCTCTAGAGGGCGAGAGGGGGGGTTATTGTACAAACAAACATCACGGCCATAGACCACCACACACAGACTGTTATTTATACTTTTTTTTATTTGTATTCTGGATTGTGGGAAACGGTATTTCGATTTCTCTCTCTGTACACACAAACTGAAAGCTTGACAATAGAGTTGACTTTGGCTTATATCCCTGATTTGCAAAACACACTAATGTGCAATACAATCATTTATTTTCTTCTTTTTAATGTATTTTTCAATCTAAGCTAGTTCCATATTTATATATTGTTCATTTTTTAAATATACTGCTACTCATTTCTTCCTTTACCATGGTGTACTTATCTGTTATAGTTGTTTAACTTATTGCGTTTTATTATTCATAACGTGTGCATACTTTTTTATATAATAAATAGGTCTATTCCCTTTACACTGCACTATACTTCTAACTTGTAATGATGTCCCTGTTGAGGGACAAGGAGACACTGAGATGTGTCACTAACTGAAAGCACTCACTCATCACTGCACCCTGTATGCCAGGGCAGGTCTGCCTTCACTAACTGTACGGAGGCTCAGTCACTGGTACACGTTCATCTACAAAGCCATGTTGGGTAAACTACCTTCTTACATCTGCTCTGATCACACAGAGAGTTGCAGGTAGCTGTTGCCTGAGATCGCATGCTGTGGTTTTGTTACATGTGCAAGGACTGACGTAGGTACGAAAGCTTTTATGTGTGCAGCTCCTCTTGCTTGGAACAGTCTGCAAAAAGAATTGAAACTGAGACATTTGGTTCCACTGCCTGTTTTTAAAGCTCGGATAGGTGCTATGTAATCTGAGACTGTTGGTACCTACCAATGTCTCTAGGTATGTAAATGTAGCTCTGTAAATATGATGTCCTTTTTGTTTTATGTATTCATGTGGAACCTACTTCAGGGTTCATACACTTTTTCACCAATGACTTCTCCATGACCTTTACCTAACTTGTCACGACTCTTTCTCAGCGGTACCACTGAAAATGGTTTATTTTAACATGGAACAGGAGAATAAGGTCTGCATATGATAAACTATGAACATATGAACTAAATAAAGCAACTAAAATCTCTCACCAGCAAAATACCTCGTCAGTTAAATGCCATGTTACGTTTCAGTACGATACAGTATGTATTATCATTATAGCATTACTATTTCGGCGATTAGATAAAATATAAATATTTGATGCAACTTTAGTTACATTTCCATGACTTTTCCAAAACGTTGGGAAAAATATTTTTTACCAAAACTTTTCCAGGGCCTGAAATTAGCATTTTGAATTTCCATGACTTTTCCAGGTTTTCAATGACCGTAGGAACCCTGCTACTTGCTGCAGGTCTCCCTTGGAAAAGAGACCCATGATCTAAACGGGACCTACCTGGTTAAATAAAGGGTTGAAATGAAAATAAGGGATTCTGATTTGCTTTGACAAAGTGGATCAGAAAGGCTTTTATGAAAGTTCTACTCACCAACTATGTTGATGTGTTTTTGTTAACAGACTGAACAACAGAAACTTAAAGCTATCAGCTGTGATGCTAGCAGGGGAAATATGATTGATATAACATAAAGAAAACAAACTAATGGAGGGAAGACAGACCCATACACTGGATAGGACAAAGCAAACATTAAAACCTGGTGATTCTTTTGTTACAAAATCACTATTAACGTTATTATCTCGAGTTGTTAGTGACGCTAGCCGTTAGCTTAGCATTAAACTCAGCAGACTGGAGCTAGCTTCGGGCTAACGGCTAACAATAATATATTAATAACAATAACTACAAGCTGACACAATGTGGCTCCACGAGGCACACATACAAACATAAGCAGTTTTATAACAGGGCACTAACACTAACTGGTGATTATATTTATATATATTTTACACTTACTTGGTTTTCTAAAGATCCTCCGGCCTGTTTCTCAGTTTATAAACAAGGCCCAACGGAACCTTTTAACGGTGAATCAGCGGGTTTGAAACACACAGGCGGGAAGACAGACTCAGATGAAATGTTTAATGTGTAGTAAGTTTACTGGTTTAATTAAATAATGCTCCTATTTTTAAAGCTTAAATCAGAATCGATTGTTTCCTTCGGTTCGCGAGACGAAGCTTCCATTGGAGTCAGAGTCAAGTTAACGGGACATAACCGGAAGTTAGGTGGTGTGTGTTGACAAAGTAAAAGGAGGATACAACAGATGGAAGGAATATTGTATATGAAACGAGTGAAATGTTTTAATATGTAAATTACATATTAAAAATAGGGATTTACTAAAAAATATTTATGCATACAAATATAATGTAATTATAATTTGATGCATTATTTTTGTTGTTTTTTGGCTCGTTGGCTTTTTCGAGTTTTATTGTGAAATTCATAACCGGAACGGCTGGTATGTCATATGTTTATCCTAACCAGTAGCAAATGCTGCGTTCAAGTACTCCCATGAAACTCGTTCAAATGTATATTTTCAAAGACGGCGTGTAAAATGCGGCATAAATGTTTCAGGAGTAAAATGGAACATATAAACAAAACTCATCAGAGTTAATGGAAAAACGAAGTTGGGTTATTGTATAAAAGGGATTATTGTCAAATGTGTGTGCTGTAAACACTGTGAGATAGAAAGGTAGTTTTCCTTTTCAGTTAATAAAAATAAATGACCGTGAACGCCCCCTTACTGTCAGTTATACATGTGTTGAAAATGTTCTTACCTTTTCCTTCAAACCTATAATAATCCAAAACACTATTCTGACACTTATTAAGACATATAAAAAAAGAAATGACTGTCAATAACTGAATTGTTGCTTACGGTAAGCTTCATAAAACTAATACTTTTCAGCTTGACTTGAGACAGAGAAACACAAATGATGGAAATACTTTATTAAACCAAGCATGTCAGTTACTTTTTATATTAAAATCTTCACACCTCAATTTGTACTTGTCTGATTTATCTGGGATTGCAAATAGACACAACCAAGGGACACAACATGACCGCAAAGTGGGAAGGTACTTTTGGGGGAAATGTAGGAATTTACGTTATCAGAAACAGTTCAGAAACATTTAGATTTTTTGTGGCAATCCACCCCCCCCCCCCCTACCCGGGGCTAACAAAAGTGTGGAAATTGTAGGTGTGCACCTGTCTGGGCCTTCTGTGTGTGTGTGTGTGTGTGTGTGTGTGTGTGTGTGTGTGTGTGTGTGTGTGTGTGTGTGTGTGTGTGTGTGTGTGTGTGTGTGTGTGTGTGTGTGTGTGTGTGTGTGTGTGTGTGTGTGTGGTCTGCAGAGGTCCTTGATTTCTCGGAGGACGGCCTCAGGGTGGTGGCCCGGGCGCCTCGGCCCCCCCGCCGGCCTCCAACAGGGAAAACAGCAGAGAAGAACCCGGACTCCTTCAGGAGGATCTTCAGCGCACACAAGAAGGTCAGACACACACACACGTGCTTGCTTACTTGCTTACTTGCTTGCTTGCTTGCTTGCTTGTTTGCTTACTTACTTGCTTACTTACTTACTTGCTTACTTGCTTACTTGCTTACTTACTTATTTGCTTACTTACTTACTTGCTTACTTGCTTACTTGCTTACTTGCTTACTTGCTTACTTGCTTACTTGCTTACTTACTTACTTGCTTACTTGCTTACTTGCTTACTTGCTTACTTGCTTACTTGCTTATTTGCTTACTTGCTTATCAACATCTGTTGAGTATTTTAAGATAAAATATTTGGATTGTGTTGAATTGAAACCCAAAAAGGCAGCGGGTCCACCAGACCCACGAACACTGGCTGAGTAACAAAAACCACACAAGGGTTAATAGGCCTACCAACTATGTGCAATATATACTGTATATATGGCGTTAATAACTATAACATACCTGGCGGTCATCAGAACTGTTACAGGATGTGTATTTTGTAAATTGTTTTATCCTTAATATTATTTTTTAGGCTGTCTTTGGCTCTTTTCTGCTGTAACAATGTACATTTCCCCTCTGTAGGACGAACAAAGGTATTCTGATTCTGATCCTGATACCCACAAGAGAAATTGTATTTATTATCTGTGGACTATATCCATCCTTGTGTTGTCCATGTTTGTTCAGGGCGGTCGGGTCATGTTGGCGTCGCGCCTCGACTCTTCAAACCTCAGAAACCTGTTACTGCTGAGCCTGGCACAAAACCTCCAAACCCCCCAAACCCCCTGCTGGTGCCATGAGAGGTTCAATGTCCTCACAATAAAGAGAGGTTGGTGGTTGTGGAGATCCTGGCAGAGGCAGAGGTTTTTGCGAAGAGGCATCACACCGTTTTTGGATAAAAGGACGAGCACCAGGGCTGGCGTCGGTGCTTCTTTAAAAAACAATTAGACATGCAGCAGATAGGCAGCTGCAGGATAAACAATCTGGCAAAGACGGAGACGAAGGACGCCAAATGACCCACCACCCGGATTAAATGACTTTTTAAGAAGAGGAGGGTTCAGAGAGGAGAGGGGCCTCTGGTTTTTGGCATCTTGTGTGTACAGAACATTTGATTTTAAGACATTTTGAAGGCATCATTTGCATTCAAATCAATCCATCTTGTATCCTCAAACAGTGACTGGTAACTAACTACACGTGTCCATTTCAGAACTAACTCAAAATAAAGGGAAAATACTTGTTTAGGTTATGAGACAGCTTATTGCTTTGTTGTTACATTGTTTTGCATTGCCAATTGTGTTTGTTGACTTGTGAAGCCCTCTGAGACAAATAGGATTTGTGATGTTGGGCTATATAAATAAACTTGAATTGAATTGAATCACTTGGGTTCCAATAGTTACAGAAGTGGTGGAGTTCAGGTTGTTACGTGACAAGAAAAAAATCAACGCTATTTTGGTTTTACACTTCTATTACATTTTCTTTTTGAGTTGCTAGCACACTGAAATGATATATAAAGCACAATTATTTAATCTCACACTCGAAGAGCAAAACCTCAGATCAAATCTCCAAAACTCTAAACACATTTTCAGCTCTGCACCCAATTTTCAATTTAACTTGGCACTTTTTGCAAAACACTGAACATCAGCAGGAGAGGACTCTTTAAAGTAGAGACACTACATACTGATATACACCTGAACAACAGCAGGAGAGGACTCTTTAAAGTAGAGACACTACATACTGATATACACCTGAACATCAGCAGGAGAGGACTCTTTAAAGTAGAGACACTACATACTGATATACACCTGAACATCAGCAGGAGAGGACTCTTTAAAGTAGAGACGCTACATACTGATATACACCTGAACATCAGCAGGAAAGGACTCTTTAAAGGAGAGACACTACATACTGATATACACCTGAACATCAGCAGGAGAGGACTCTTTAAAGTAGAGACACTACATACTGATATACACCTGAACATCAGCGGGAGAGGACTCTTTAAAGTAGAGACACTACATATTGATATACACCTGAACATCAGCGGGAGAGGACTCTTTAAAGTAGAGACACTACATACTGATATACACCTGAACATCAGCAGGAGAGGACTCTTTAAAGTAGAGACACTACATACTGATATACACCTGAACATCAGCAGGAGAGGACTCTTTAAAGTAGAGACGCTACATACTGATATACACCTGAACATCAGCAGGAGAGGACTCTTTAAAGTAGAGACACTACATACTGTTATACACCTGAACATCAGCAGGAGAGGACTCTTTAAAGTAGAGACACTACATACTGATATACACCTGAACATCATCAGGAGAGGACTCTTTAAAGTAGAGACACTACATACTGATATACACCTGAACATCAGCAGGAGAGGACTCTTTAAAGTACAGACACTACATACTGATATACACCTGAACATCAGCAGGAGAGGACTCTTTAAAGTAGAGACACTACATATTGATATACACCTGAACATCAGCGGGAGAGGACTCTTTAAAGTAGAGACACTACATATTGATATACACCTGAACATCAGCGGGAGAGGACTCTTTAAAGTAGAGACACTACATACTGATATACACCTGAACATCAGCGGGAGAGGACTCTTTAAAGTAGAGACACTACATATTGATATACACCTGAACATCATCGGGAGAGGACTCTTTAAAGTAGAGACACTACATATTGATATACACCTGAACATCAGCGGGAGAGGACTCTTTAAAGTAGAGACACTACATACTGATATACACCTGAACATCAGCGGGAGAGGACTCTTTAAAGTAGAGACACTACATACTGATATAACCTGAACATCAACAGGAGAGGACTCTTTAAAGTAGAGACGCTACATACTGATATACACCTGAACATCAGCAGGAGAGGACTCTTTAAAGTAGAGACACTACATACTGATATACACCTGAACATCAGCAGGAGAGGACTCTTTAAAGTAGAGACACTACATACTGATATACACCTGAACATCAGCAGGAGAGGACTCTTTAAAGTAGAGACACTACATACTGATATACACCTGAACATCAGCAGGAGAGGACTCTTTAAAGTAGAGACACTAAATACTGATATAACAACAGCCGGTGTATGCATAGGTAACCATTATTTATTTTCATTAGATATAAATAACAAGAGTGAACATTCTCCTATTAATGCATAATAAGAATCAGAACTCAAATTGAACAACTGTTGCCACTATAAACATGTCCTGCATTTCCCATGCTTATACAGAATGCCACCACTAGATGTCAGACTCTACACACCATTTACCTCTCCTTCCCTCGTGCAGTTTTCTCCCTTTTTCTACTTTCCCTTTGTCTACAAATACAGTATTTTTCAACAAAATGTGACGGAGTGGAATACCGTAGTTTTATACGGAAATATTCAAGTCAGTGTGATATGTTATGATCCACAAGCCGAATAATGTGGATTAATTGTTGTAACAAAGGATATATAACCTTGGAACCCAACTCAAATGTGAGGTATGTTGGTCAGAAACATTAGAAGTGTTCATAGGGGAGCGTTTAGAAAATGGTAAACAATCAACAACGACAGGTTTGCAGGCGCTAGAAGGGAAAAGATGGAGCTTCATCGTGGACCGTTATATGCAATGAAGCTATATAAACAATAAAATGATTCATTAGTAAAGTCTACAGCGAGTATGAATTAACCACAAAACATTATTCAACGATAAAGTTAACAATAAACAAAAAACATCGCTGCTAGAAGAGCAAAAGACGACCACGAAGGGACTCGAACCCTCAATCTTCTGATTCGAAGTCAGACGCCTTATCCATTAGGCCACGCGGTCGGAGTGAGCGGTGATGAGTCGTAAAGAGTCTAAAGATTTCCTAATATAATTATGCATTTATTTATAGATAATGGTTATAATATTCACGTTTTCGTACGTAAAATCTGCCTAAATTAAAAGCCACAATTATAACCATAGGTCTTTATTTAACTGTTGTAATATTTACTATATTCTATTTTTTAAATAGACAATATACAACCAAGAAATGCAATGAAAGTATATTTATGATAATTTTACTATGGCTAAATCTGGCACATTTACGAGATGGACCCAAGTGCTCGAGGTAATTATGTGCATTGTCACTTCTTAATTCCACAAAATGAAATGAAAACATAACTAAAAATAACTAAATGAAAAGATATGTATAAATAAAAAAGCCAGCTATTGTGGTTCCAGGTTTTTTTTACGAGACTATTTTTTAACATTGAAAAACAAGAAATCTGTGTACCACACCAACCTAACTCTATAATACTTAAAACGTCATTAGAAATAGGACCTTGATTTGTATTAAAACAATTTAAATCAATATTTCAAAAGTATTCAAATGTAAATATATGGAATGTTGGGTTTTATGCTTTGCATTGTAAAAATATCCAAATAAATAATAATATCTATTTTTTATTAACGAAAAAAAGTATAAAAGAACCAACAAAACTCCGATTTTGTTTTGGGCCATGCCGTCATTAGGCGCTTTCACACCGGAGTACTTTTCCGATAGTTCTTGGGATTTTGCGTTCACACCAAAAAGATCTGGAGCTAGAACTTAGTTCTCGGGAACCTTTTCCCCCCTTTTCAGTCCCTGCTAGAGAGCAGGGACTGAAAAGGGGGGAAAAGGTTCCAATTTCTGATTGGCTGGGCGAATTGCAAACCACGCCCCGTAAAACTCTGAAAAGTTTTGTGAAGCCGCCATTTTATTTGCTTGCATTAGCATTATTAGCATTAGCCCAGCGCACTAACGGAGAGAGACTAACTTATGGCAACACAAAAAAACATGGGAGCGGTGGAGATGTCTGCGCTTCTGGCGATTTACTCGGAAGACGCTACCCAGCAGCTTCTACTGAAGCCAGTGCCCAACTCAGGGGGGGGACTCTGGGACTTCGGGTGGCAGTACACGCCCTGAAGTTGTTTGCGGCCTGCCAGTAAATCCAAAGCAGAAGAAGAAGAAGAAGTGACGTCAGCGGCTTCATTTGCCTAATCCTCCCTCAGGGACTTATTCCGGTGTGAACGCGATCTACTAGGAAAGTTCCAGGGACTAAAGAGTTTGGCGGGACTAAGTACCGCAAAGTACTCTGTTGTGAAAGCGGCTATTGTACCCTGGAGGAGATCGGAAAGTAAACAACTTAACAAAAAACTTCACACTGTCCTTTTATATCCAGTAAAAACAACAACATAGGATGCATTGTATGCTTTATTAACAGGGTAGTTCAGTAATGACAAACTTAATACAAGAGCAGAGTAAACTGTAATGCCAATATCTTAAAAAATAATGCACATGTTTAAAGTGGATGATAAAATTAAAACAAATTAAATAAAGTTTATTTCGACAGGTTGTTAGTGACATTCACATTTAGGCACTGGAAAAGTAAAAAAAACATTCAGACAAAAATAAATACACGTACATTTTCATATCAGCTATCCTAAATATGCAACAATTAAGCGCCAAGTGCAACAAGTAAGACTTTAGAATACAGGAACCTCGTGAGACTTTAACAAGCTCTGGTTTGTTCTACATTTTCACATATTCCTCCGTCTACACACTCATAAGACATGACTTTAAATTCACTCGTGCACCAAAATCCAAAATAATTCGGAACAACAATCAACTATCCTTTCTTTCATCGTTCAGATTTCAGTACCAGGTTGCAGGCAAACCATCTTCCTCTCGTTTTATTTGGGATGCACCAATATTTGCAGAGGTGACATATCGTTGTAGGCTAGCATTGAAGTTCACCATGTTATTCTAAAGTTCAATATTAGTGCATCCTTAGTTTTTATCAATTAGCCTCAAACACAAGTAGAGGGTCTCTCATTTGTCCGCTGTGCAACATTTTCAACTTTTATCTTCACAAATTAAGTATAAAATGAGCTGTAATAACATTTATTTTGTCAAAGGTTCATACATAAGAGGCTACCCAGAAAAAGGCTATATTGTTGGAAAAAGGTGCGATATGTTAGCAGGTTTGGTAAGTCGGTTAGGTGTGAGACAAAGCCCTGTGTGGAGCCTTATACTGGTTACAGTGCGTCTGTTGAGCTTCAATTAAAGAGAAATACAACACTTGTATAAAAAGCTAAGAAGGAATATAATATCAGTTATCATCTTTGGACCAATTTCTTAAAAAAGGGTCCAAGTTCTAGTTTTAATCTTCATGCTGTCCATTTATAATCCCATTCCATTCCCTCGTGTGTTAGGAACACTAACATGCGGTGATAACCCAACATTGGTGTTTTATTATCTGTCCTTAATTGCCATGAAATAGTGAAATATCTGCAGAGATTGTCTTTTGCAAGACAGCAGCTTCTCAGTCGGATCATCAGAGTTAAACATTCATAAAACAAGTCAACTAAAACCTGTAGATATCACGTACTGCTACAAACAAAAACACACGTCTGCATCCCGTCCCTTTGTATCTGATCTCCTAGACCAGTGCTTCTCAAAGTGTGGTCCGCGGACCACTGGTGGTCCGTGAGCGCCCCCTAGTGGTCCGTGAGTATATTGGTAACATTTCACATTTGAAATTAATTAATTAATTCAAGTTTTCCGCACTCGCGGGAATATCCCCGCAATGGAGCGAGCTTAAGTTTCACTTTCAATTGCATGATATAGCCCAGATAAACACCTTCATCACACATGTGGCCACTTGTTTGTACCATTTTAAGGCGATTTGCAAAAAACGATGTGTTTTGGGATATTTGTGGAGTTAGGTGGTCCGCGAGTGTTTTTTTATTGGTTAAGTGGTCCTTGGTATGAAAAAATTTGAGAAACACTGTCCTAGACCTAAGGCATCTTAAACTAATTTAACATTTTGAGAAATACACCTATTTGCTTTCTTGCCGATAGGTATACCAGTAATACCACACTTTCACTAAAGATAGCTATCAGTACGTAAGCTTGCTTAGCTAAAGACAGCTATCAGTACGTTAGCTTGCTTAGCTAAAGACAGCTATCAGTACGTTAGCTTGCTTAGCTAAAGACAGCTATCAGTACGTTAGCTTGCTTAGCTAAAGACAGCTATCAGTACGTTAGCTTGCTTAGCTAAAGACAGCCATCAGTACGTTAGCTTGCTTAGCTAAAGACAGCTATCAGTACGTTAGCTTGCTTAGCTAAAGACAGCTATCAGTACGTTAGCTTGCTTATATTACTGCTATAAATAAGAAACACTTTTCTGTACCTCAAAGCGCTGAAGTAACTTTTGCACAGTGGTAGGAAACGGTATTTATATCACAAATGTAAATTAAGTTTCCTGTCTGGCTTTCTTTCCAGTTAGCATGCCTCTTATCTGACTTCCTCTGGCATGTTAAAGTAGTTTAACATTTTGGGGAAATACGCGTATTTGCTGTCTTGCCGACAAAGATACTTAGCAGTCCGTTAGCTCGCTATGCTAAAGGTAAAGTAGCCTAGCTCCGTCCAAAGCTAACAGCGAATTTAAGCTGCGTGAAGAAGTTTTAATAAGTCCGTCCGGACGTTCTCATTTTGCTCAATAAGAATTAGTGTTGCGGCTTTTCTGCAAGAGTTAGCCACTTTTGTAGCTAGTGCTGCTAGCTTGGAAATCTGTATGGATTTATACTTTAGATACTTCTCAAATCTACTAAACTCTTGCTAGTTTTTCAAGATTACCCCCCACTGGTAAACAAAATAGTCTGGTGCATACAAACACACAACAGAGTCAGGCTAACGGTTTCCTAGCTTCCAAAAGAACAATATTATTCTCCCTTACTGACTTTAATAATATAATTGTATGATTATTATTTGCTAATGTTCATCTGTATTTACTGGCTTTCATGTCTTTGCTAAGCTTGGGAAATGTTCTTAATAAGAAGATTTGTTGAAGGGTTTGATTCTATATCCACATTTGATATATAAACTCCCACCACAATACTAAGCTAGGCTAACTGGCTGTAGCTTCATATTTGCTGTAAAGTCAGGGATATCAATCTCCTCATCTGGAATAAATCTATTCTGCAAAATCTCTACATTAAAGGGTGAGGCACAACGAACGTGAGCAGTAAGGTCACAGAGAGAACGGTGCAAGAGAAGCAATCATCAAAGGCTAATTGAAATGTGTATTATAAGAGAGGAGGATTTTTAGCAACTGGAGTTAGTTCTTGAGACAGACAGCGCTGAGAGGATTCATCTCTACTGTAGTTATACACTTGTTTGTAGAGTCCATTATAATAAACCTCAGTTCATGTTAGTATTAGATGTCCATGTTTTCATCCATTTCTAAGCTTTGACATTTAGTGCACTTGCGAGGCTAAAGAGAGGCTAATTAGATAGCATTGTGTTAGTGATATGTGTTAGGAGTAAGGCAGTAAAGCCGGTAAATATTGAGTAAGAGCGCTGAAGGACAGAATATAAGGGTGACTGAGGGCTGGGCAATATATCGATGTTTTATCGGTATCGTCGTGTAAGACAAGAATGTTGACTCGAGTAACTGTCGACTCGAACAAGTTACCAAACCCTAAGTGACTAGCTTTTAGGAACAACTTGTGAGAGTAACACGGAAGTCATGTGACTAATGAGTCACGAAAAGCTAACGAATCACGGTCTTCATTTTATAAATTAAGTTTCCTGTCTCGCTGTCTTTCCTGAAGTTTTACAGCTTCCATTTTTTATCTGATACAATATCGAGATTGAGGTTAAAAATGTTTTGTGATATATGTAGTATTACCCAGCTCTAGGGTGAACTTATTTCAGATATGATTGAAACGTCTTACATGCTAATCAAATTCTCGTGAAGGCTACGAATTCTCACGATTAAACAGCGTGCTTCTATATGACCTCTAAGTGAACTGTACTTAAGTTTAGCAGTTTAACACCCTTTCTACAAACCCTGAAATAGCATTTTATCGTCCTCTCTAGAGCCAAACCGTGTTTCGATGTTTTATCGGTATCGTCATGTAAGACAAGAATGTTGTGGTCTACAATTGACTCACGCAACTAATGAGTGACTGTCGACTCGAACAAGTTACCAAACCTAAGTGACTAGCTTTTAGGAACAACTTGTGAGAGTAACACGGAAGTCATGTGACTAACGAGTCACGAAAGGCTAACGTGCTAACGAATCACGGTCTTTATTTTAGAAATGTTGCGATATATGTAGTATTACCCAGCTCTAGGGTGAACTTATTTCAGATATGATTGAAATGTACTACATGTTAATCAGATTCTCGTGAAGGCTACAAATTCTCACGATGAAACAGCGTGCTTTTATTTGACCTCTAAGTGAACTGAACTAAAGTTTAGCAGTTTAACTCTCTCTCTACAAACACTGATGTAGCACTTTATCATCCTCTCTAGAGCCAAACCGTGTTTTAAACATCTACTGTTTACTAGATTTGCCCGATTTGCCAGACTTGCTCGCCTTAGCAACTTTGGTAGCTTTGATGTCCATCTTGGTCTTCTGGATCCGGGAGAAGATCTCTTTAAAAAGCGCTTTGTACTCCGGCGTGCTTTGTCCCAGCCTCTTATCCACGGCGTCCACCTGCTTGCTGATGCTCTCCATGGCCTCGGGGGTGGAGGGCGACTGCGTTGGGGTGGGGGGCGGCGCCGGCGTGGGTCCGATAGCGCAGTCTTTCATGGACGGATCTCTGGAGACAGGTCGTGAAGTTTGGACTCCGGCGTGACACAGACTCTCCTCGTGGCGCCGACACTTCCCCAACAACTCCTCGTATTTCTCCAGGAGGGCGTGGTACTGCTCGTCAACTTCCCTCAGGATGGACATGCCTGTTAAGCAGAATTTACATCGTTACTTGTTGGAAAAATACTGAATGTCCTCTTCCAACATGAGAGTCACATGATGACAAAGGTATCAACTGTAGCTGTGAACATGACAGGATGTGTGATGACCTAGAAGAGCATCAGGACTGTTTGAGGCAGATGATAGCTATGTGATTAACATGATGATTCAGCCTCTATGGAGAGAGACATCAAGCATGCTCATTTCTGACGTGGAGCTAATCTGAAGTAAACATTGAATACTGCTTTCTATTCCTCCATCTTGTGACTGTGTAACTCCCTCTCTTGGATATCAGCATGTGAAGGACACTGCTCAGGAACTAGTTGATGCTCTGTATGTGATGACTCCTTCCATTCTGGAGAGGATCACAGATACATGGATCCTGAGGTTGAAGCTCAAGCCGGGGAACAGGGAGATTTTTCTAACATTACTCTACCTATTTTTCTATAAAGTGAAGATTTGTTTACCTACTTTTGATACATGCTCTGATAGAATAACTGTATGCTGTTGAAAAAACCCAATAAACAAAGTTAAAAAGGATGGACATGCCTCTTTTCCGCACACTATTGGCGTGGAGAGCGTAGCTTCCTCTCCGCCTCCCGGACGCATCTCGAGCCACGATGGCGTCCAGCGCCGTGTCGCTGCAGCTCTTCCTCACGGGGCTGGACTCCGGGAGATTTTCCCCTCCGACGCTCTTCCCCCCGCCTTCATTCGCCTCTCGCACGCCGCCCCCCGTCTCCTCGCTCACCTCCACCTCCAGGAAGGTGTCTGTCTCCGGCGTGCTGTTCAGGACGGTTTGTGTTATCGTGGTGCCGTCGTCCTCGCTGCTCATCAGGAAGGTCCGAGCGCGACGAAGCTGCTGAAGCTCCTGAAGCTCAACCTCCAGCTCACGGACCCTCGCCTGGCAGCTCTCGGCATCCTGAAAGAAAGAGAAAATGAAAATCGAAATTGAGTTTATTATATTCAGTGTTGTGCTAGTTACTGAAAACTAGTAACTATTTACCATTACTAGTTATTTCATGGCAAAAGTAACTCAGTTACTTTGCTAGCTACTTACACCAAAAAGTAATGCGTTACTGTGAAAAGTAACGTTTTAGTTACTTAAAAAAAGGGCTCTCATTGATGCCCTTATAGCCTTCATGTCAGTACTGTTATTGCATTGGAGAATAATACAATCTGTTGATCAACTTGACATGCATTATGTGCAATCTGGATTGCATCGATATTAGCTGGCTTTCCATTTTTGTATATTCTTTCTCCAGGTAGTTTGAAAAAGTTTTCCGTCCCATATGCCGTGTGCCGCCCGGACATGCTATCATGCTAACTAGCTCCCTGAAAGCGGGTGACTCCACTGTAGCAATAGCCTGCATGTGTTCTACAACATACCGTGCAATGGCTTTATCGACTTTTCCCTGGCCAGCAGTCCCTTGGTTAAAATCCAGCCGCTGTTGCTTAGGTGGAGGTGGAGTGGCGTCGGCTGAGTCTCTGTGGTCTTAGCTACTAACTTCGTCCCAGCATGTTGTTTTTGCAGATGTTTTAAGAGATTTGAATTACTGGTTTGGGCAGTAGATAGGATCTTTGACCCGCCAAGACACAACTTACATTTAACTAAAACTTTCTTTTCTTTGTGTTCGACAAAAGTGAAATAGTGAGAATATCTCCAGGTGGAGAAACTAGACTTGAGCTCCGCCGCCGCCATGATAGTCTTGTTAGTAAACAACACAAACACGCCCACAGCCCGTCTCCGCATGTGACACAGGAAGTATCTAAGTACATTTACTCAAGTACTGTACTTAAGTACAGTTCTCATCTCTGTTCGCCTGGCTGTTGACTATATAAAAAAACGAACGCAGTAACGGAGTAACGCACCATGTAGTAACGGTAACTGAGTTACTGAATTTAAAAAGTAATGCGTTAGAGTACTGGTTACTGCCAAAAATAACTGCGTTACAGTAACGCCGTTACTTTGTAACGCGTTAGTCCCAACACTGCTTATATATAAGATATTGAAGTGAATGAAGCTTAGCGCAAGTTCAACCAGGAAGACCATCTTGAGTCATTCATTTAAATCTGCTCTCTCCCCTCCTCACAGTTGTCATTTCAGGAGACTCAACGCAGCCCTCCTCCACCTTCCTTTCTTCCAAATCCAAGCTCAAACCACTACTCTTCAGGCCGACCTCCATCAATCCCTTCATGCCTTCACCACCACCAGTGTCTAGACGGTTCATCGGTTCGGTTTTCCCCTCCTGAATGATATTCCAGCACAACAGGGTCTAATCGCAAAACACCATTATATGCATCTGTGTATTCCCGGCAATAAATATATATTGTCATATCAAAAGAAAACTTGTCTCTCCTGATTGAAATAAAGTTATTCTGATTCGTACCTGCACGCGTGTCTGCAGGCGGGAGAACTCCCCCAGCAGGAGGTTGCACTCCCGCTCCACTCCCTCCCGTCTCCCCCTCTCCGTCCGGGCCGCGCCTCGCAGCGCAGACACCGCCTCCCGCAGGTGCTGGTTCTCCTCTTCGAACGGAGGGCGCTTTGCATCCACCGTGAAGCTCTCTGCCCGACCCACCACGAACTGATCCTCATACCTGACAACGAGACAAGACAAACACAGAGTTATAAAAACACTCTGAAGCAAGATATCGTTATCTTACGAAATAGCTATCTAACGTTTTGGCAAGTAAAGATTGTTAGGGGTATTGCCCAATATCTGGAACAAACTACCAGAAACCTGCAGGTCCGCTGCAACTCTGACTACTTTTAAATCCAGGCTTGAGACTTTTATATTTGCCGTTGAGTTTAATCCAAGGTCAAATGTACGTTGAAGCATCTTGTTGTGAGTTTTCATAGTATGTTTAATACTTAAAAACGAAAGTTAGTTATAATCAAATATAATCAATTATATTCTTGTATAACCCACAATGAAAATGCTTCATATTTTAGGGTTTTCTATAGTTACAGTATAAACAAAACAAAGTGGGTTGTTTAGGTTGAGTTTTCTTCCTCTCCTCTGGCAGCAGTCCACATGGGAAGGGGGGGGGGGGGGCTTCACACTAAGGAGACACATTAAGAGGCCAAAGAGAGTTCATGTCCTTTTTACCTCATATGAAAGGGTGTCTTATCCCATAACAGCTGTGGAACATGTTGGGACATGTTCAGCCTTGTACATTATGCGCATGCGCGGTTTTCAACTGAATTGGGTGTAGAGGAGGAGTTTTGTTTTTTTGGGTTTGGATCCAGTTTTTTTAGCATAAAGAGACTGGTTTTTTGAGAGAGCGCGAGAGAGGGGGGGTGACCCCTGGTAGACTCTCTCCCGGTAGGCTGGGTGCTTCAGAGCTGGGTAACTAGCTCTCGGAAAATATCCTCTCACACTTGGTAAATATCTCTCGATTTTCTTGGTTGTTGGCTGAGTGGAATGATTTGATGAGAGATGTGTTGGTGAATATTATAACCCGTGACCTGTAAGGACCTTCCTTCGAACTCTTGGCGGATAGGAATGTGTTTTTGAAAGGTTAATCCGCCGTCTGTGTCGGAAAAAGTGTTTGAAAATTATAAATACCGCGACCTGTAAGGACCTTCCTTCGAACTCTTGGCGGACAGGTATGGGTTTTTGAGTGTTAATCCGCCGTCTGTGTCGGAAAAAACGGTATGAAACTGATGTAAATTGAGTTGGTGAAATGGAAAAGTTGAATGCGCTTTTTATGGTCACCGGTCTTTTTACGAGGAAATACCTCTAAATTCTATCGGGAGAATTTTAAAATGTCACAACTGAAATGGGCAGTTGGAATTAAAACATTTTGGTAATAAATGTAAGACTGTGAATTAAAGTTTCATTTGAACATGATCACAGCACGGTTTTTTGTTAGGATGATTATAATGTTGTGAGAGAGAAGGTAAAAACCCTGTATTAGTTTGGACCTATTTTTCTTCAAATAAACTGAATCCCACCTGTTGGATTGGGATCCTTTAAAAGACACCTGTGCCCTCCTCTCCTGCGTCAAAGGTAAGATTGCACCCTGCCACACACACTTAGGTAGGAGCACACTCCATTTACTGATATCAAAATCCTTCGGGATCGCTTAAACAGATTAAAAAAGAGTTGTCTGAATTGAAACAGCAGTTAATTGAACCTGGTTCTTCGGGGGGGTTAGGAAGAGGTGAGATCTTGCTGACGTTGGTGGATCTGAGCCAAGCCGCAAACTTACATAGACTCAATAATCTTCGGAAAGGTCAATTAGGAGGTCAGAGTAATTTACCGGAATAAATTATCAGGACCTCTCAAAACTCTAAACAATCTTGAACGTATTGTAATAATGTCTGTTTCCATTTCTTGTCTTAAAAATGTGTCCTTGTTGATTTTGCAAATGGAACTGTGTTAGAAATTAAAATCAATGTTGATATGGCGTAATTTGAATTAAATACACTATTTAATTTAAATCAGTTTTATTCTGAAAAACCGGAAGTTCACTAACTATTAACTTAACACTTTTATTCTGAAAATTATTCATTTCCGGTTAGCATTAGCATGTGGCGAAATGCTGCATTTTCAAAACGTGAATCAAAGGTGAAATGACATGTGATGTTGTACACTGAGCACACTGGGTTTAGCACTCGTTTATTACCGCTGAATAATGTTTATTAGGGAATGTTTAAATAACCACAGACACCAGAATGATATCATTTAACAACAGAAAAAGGCAGGAATTGCATTGGACCCGCCCCCCGACGACGCCGGCCAATAGGAGAAGACCTCAGATGACAACAGGAAGAGCAAGCCAAGAATTGACCTCTTCTACCTGCTGACCTGGACTGACTGGGCGGATGAGGAGAGCGCCTCCACTCGCACATTTCATTTTGTACACCACCGCATCTTTTGTGTAATTAAATGCTGTTAACTTTTATAGGCTTCCCTTGACTCTTTTCAGTCTCTCCTGCCTTCAGGGTTCTAGAATATACTAACAGCTGCTGATTTAACGCTGAAGTGTTATTGTATTTTATCATTATAGATCACAGATTGTTGGAGATCAGTACCCGGGTGCGGTGCAGAGCTCTCGCAGGCAGGGGAAGGAGTGGATGGTTTTCCGGCGCTCCCGTTTTCTCCCTGCGGACTCGGAGCTGCTCCATGGAGCGAAGCTGCTCCACCTGTCCGGAGAGCGTCTCCACCTGGACCTGCAGAGCATCGATGGTCCCGGTCAACCTGGGGCAAAGGGAGAGGAATTATTAATGATAATAATACGTTTATTTCGTATAGCACCTTTCATAGAAATAAAATTCACAAAGTGCTTCACAAGAAAGAACAAAAGTTAAAATGAAGACCACAGAAACATGAATACAATAACATGAGGCAGAAATTAAGGTCAACATAAAAACAAAACAGAGCACGTGGAGTCCTGAAAGGAACAAACATAAGAACAGAACACACACATCTCAAGGAGAAACAAAAGCCAATGTAAAAAGATGGGTCTTCAGTAGTTTTTTAAAAGCTTCTACAGAGAGTGGAGAGCGGATGCCAAAAGGGAGAAAGTTCCGTAGTTTTATCAGCAGAAATGGAACAGAATTGGAGGCCACCAAATTGCTCCTTTAAAATCCCCGTTACTGACCTCTCTATCTTCTGATGCGAGTTCTTGCTGTCGATCACCAGAGACACGTTGGTGCGTTCCAGTTCCCGCGCCGTCCCGTCCAGCTGCTCGTAAACTTTGGCGTGTTGTTCGTTCATATCCCGGAGAACATCCAGCTGCTTGGACAGATACTGCAGGAGACAAGAAGACATGAACAAACATTAGGAATATATAACGAATTTGAAGTAAAAAGCTAACGTTAGGCTGTAAAGGAACTACAGCACGGTCAAATGAGTTCACGTCACCACCGCTAAGCTAAAGGTGGCTAATGTTGGGCTATAAAGGAACTACAGCATGGTCACATGACTTCACGTCATCACCGCTAAGCTAAAGGAGGCTAAAGTTGGGCTATAAAGGAACTACAGCACGGTCAAATTAGTTCACGTCACCACCGCTAAGCTAAAGGTGGCTAATGTTGGGCTATAAAGGAACTACAGCATGGTCACATGACTTCACGTCATCACCGCTAAGCTAAAGGAGGCTAAAGTTGGGCTATAAAGGAACTACAGCACGGTCAAATTAGTTCACGTCACCACCGCTAAGCTAAAGGTGGCTAATGTTGGGCTATAAAGGAACTACAGCACGGTCAAATTAGTTCACGTCACCACCGCTAAGCTAAAGGTGGCTAATGTTGGGCTATAAAGGAACTATAGCACGGTCACATGACTTCACCACTGCTAAGCTAAAGGTGGCTAATGTTGGGCTATAAAGGAACTACAGCACGGTCACATGACTTCACGTCACCACCGCTAAGCTAAAGGTGGCTAATGTTGGGCTATAAATGAACTACAGCACGGTCACATGACTTCACGTCACCACCGCTAAGCTAAAGGAGGCTAAAGTTGGGCTATAAAGGAACTATAGCACGGTCACATGACTGCACGTCACCACCGCTAAGCTAAAGGTGGCTAATGTTGGGCTATAAAGGAACTACAGCACGGTCACATGACTTCTTTAAAGTAGAGACGGTACATACAATGAAACCTGAAAATTAGCATCATAGGTCTCTTTAATGTAATAATAATAATTCATATCCTCCGTACTTCGATCTCCTGCACCTGCTCCTCGTTGGTGATGTACATCAGCTGCAGGGAATCCTCCAGCTCCTTGTTTCTCTCCAGCAGAGTTTTCCCCAGCTCCGCCGCCAAATGGAGGTCTGCAAAACACGGAGAAATTCACAAACAAATGAACAAATAAGTCGAAAGTATAGCTGCTACGATCCTGGACAAAAGTATTCTGCAAAAGTTGAAAAAACATGAAATTTTCCCCAGATGAAAATTACTTAAGTATACATTTGAGGTGCTTGTGCTGTACCCAAATATTTAAATTTCACATATTGTAAGCCAATTTTACTACTTTGTACTGCACTACGTTTATTTTAAAGATTTATTTTGTAGTTACTTTCTAAATTCAGATTTTTTTCACACATTACTGGAGAAAAACTTTGAATATAGGATTATTTTTGTAAAGATTAAACCATCCAACATTATATTTAAGTAACTGAAACCATGAGTTGGATAATAAGCCATTTTGCCAAGGAGTTTTATATATATATATTTCACAGTTTCAGCTTCTTAAATGTGAAGATTGTTTAACTATTCTTTTGAGTTTTTCTGCAATACTGAATACTTTTAACCCCAAAGTACATTTTCCGAATTGTAGTTAAATACTTTTACCCATGTACCATTCTTGATGCAATACCTTTACGTGAAACCGAGTTATTTTACAGTCTGGTATTAGTACTTTTTCTCAAGTAAAGAATCTGAATACTTTTTCCACCACTGTGCACGAGTCGAACAGAAAACCTGACGGTGTTTCTGAGATATTAAAGGTCCCACGTCATGGCCACTTCCACTGATCATAATTCCATTGTTGAGGTCGACTAGAATAGATTTATATTGTGCCATTTTCCAAACTCACATTGGTTTCTCAAACAGCATCTCTGTAAACTACGTGTACGTGTTTCACTCTCTGCCTTTAACGGCTCGTTGTAGCTCCAATAGCTCCAGCCCCCCCCCCCCCTCCCTGTGAGCACAGTGTGCTCTGATTGGTCGGGACGTTGTGAATCGCGCTAAGCTCCGTGGAGGTGTTGTTTCCTTGTTTAGCGATACACAGCGAAACACAGCCAAACTCACCCTGAGCACACACAAAGTCACAGCCGAAGTAAAAACAATAAGTGTGGCTTGATATTGAGTAAGAACAAGGTTGATAAACGCTGTGAGAATGGGTCTGCAGAGAGAATGGGTCTGCAGAGAGAATGGGTCTACAGAGAGAATGGGTCTACAGAGAGAATGGGTCTGCAGAGAGAATGGGTCTACAGAGAGAATGGGTCTGTAGAGAGAATGGGTCTGTAGAGAGAATGGGTCTGCAGTGAGAATGGGTCTGCAGAGAAAATGGGTCTACAGAGAGAATGGGTCTACAGAGAGAATGGGTCTGCGGAGAGAATGGGTCTGTAGAGAGAATGGGTCTGCAGTGAGAATGGGTCTGCAGAGAGAATGGGTCTGCAGAGAGAATGGGTCTGCAGTGAGAATGGGTCTGCAGAGAGAATGGGTCTGCAGAGAGAATGGGGTCTGCAGAGAGAACGGGTCTACAGAGAGAACGGGTGCAAGGTCTGCAGAGAGAACGGGTCTGCAGAGAGAATGGGTCTGTAGAGAGAATGGGTCTGCAGAGAGAATGGGTCTGCAGAGAGAATGGGTCTGCAGAGAGAACGGGTCTGCAGAGAGAACGGGTCTGCAGAGAGAATGGGTCTGCAGAGAGAATGGGTCTGTAGAGAGAATGGGTCTGCAGAGAGAACGGGTCTGCAGAGAGAATGGGTCTGCAGAGAGAATGGGTCTGCAGAGAGAATGGGTCTGCAGAGAGAACGGGTCTGCAGAGAGAATGGGTCTGCAGAGAGAATGGGTCTGTAGAGAGAACGGGTCTGCAGAGAGAACGGGTCTGCAGAGAGAATGGGTCAGCAGAGAGAATGGGTCAGCAGAGAGAATGGGTCTGCAGAGAGAATGGGTCTGCAGAGAGAATGGGTCTGCGGAGAGAACGGGTCTGCAGAGAGAATTTTGCCGCGATCCCAACTGTCTGTTATCAGCCTGCAGCCCGGGTGGAGAGATCAGCAGAGCTGCAGCACTGAGTGTGTGAGGAAGTCCGTGGATTGGTCAATTTGGACCAATCAGCGGAGGCTTAACGTAACGGCTCCGCGGACGTAACGTAACGGCTCCACGGATTGGTCCATTTCGTTCCGGTACGGTTGACATCATGCATACCCGGAAGAATCAAAGTGACAGTGACGTATCTCCAACGAGGCGTTTTGGGGAGGTCTTCTCTGTGTTAGAGTTTTACTCGCTACAGGGTGCACTTTGAGGGTTTTGACTCTGCAGACCGTTTACATGCATAAAAACCTTCATAACACAAGGGGACGGGTGATAACCGGAAAAGCATGACATGGGACCTTTAAGTTTTTCTTTAAATGCAATTGGACGTTTGAATTTGAAGAAATTCCCTGATCCTGGGATACGGTATTCAGAAAAAGGGAAGGAGATATATTTAAAACATATATAAGATAAGATAAACTTTATTGATCCTAGTTTGGGAAATGTTTTCGCCAAAGCAGCATGTCGGTAACGGTGCGTCCACACGGCAGCGCGCGTTGAAGCTTGCCGGTGGGCGTGTCTGGTGTGCGACCAACAACCAATCATATTAATCTCCCGCCCCGGACACACAAGCACGAGGTTTGATTGGCTAGAGCTTGTACCGGCATATGATTTGATTGGCTGGCGCTTCCGTCGACGCTTGAAAAGTTGAACATTGCTCAACTTTTGCAGCGAGCCACGCCAGCAAAGCTCCGCGTCGCTTCCCGCAATGCAGTTCGGCGAAAAGTGACCCCATTCAAAGTGAATGGTGAAGCTTTCAATGCACACCGCTGTGTGGACGGGACATTGCACATGAATTAGAAATAGATCAAATACAATAAAGATAAACATATCAGCAGTGGAAGATAAAAAAAACCGCATTATATATTGATATAATGTTTTACAGCAGCCCTTGCTTCCCCTGAAGGCACCACGCTGTCCCGTTTCATTTGCCGACTCTCGTATCACCTCCAAACTACGCTGAGTCAGCTTCTGTATCCGGGCTCTGACTCTGCGGTTCTGATTGTCGGCAAAACGTTTACGACCTCTCAGAGAAAGAGGAATACAACAGCGAAGAGCTAATTATAAATAAACCCACATTTCATGCAGTATTTTAATTTTAAATGAGGACTTGTTTTGTCATTGTCTTTCCTGCAGAACTTTTTTTTTTTATGTAGTAGGCCTCCTTTTCAGGGAGTACTGTACTTGCTTTTTTCATGTAGTATTTGTGCTTTAAAGGCATAACTTGAGTGAGCTTTGTGACGAGGAGGAGGAGGAGGAGGAGGAGGAGGAGGAGGAGGAGGAGGAGGAGGAGGAGATATTTTGAAAAACAATCCCCACGTTGTGAACTTTCTGTGGAATTTATTAGGAAAAAGTGACAGTGGAAGAGAGGAAGACGGCTAATCAATACTAGCGTTAGCAAAACAGCTGAGCAGATCAATACTGGCCGCTCACAGGATGAAGATAATCTCATCCTGAATGACAGAGGCACTTCCTGCATGCTGTGCAGCTGGGTTCACATACAGGCTGCTTTCTCTAAATGTTTTCAATGCGACTGCCGGACATTTTGTGCACAACGATCTGATCTGTTCTGCCACCGGAGGGTTTCTGTGGGTGCATTTCTCCCGTGGGATTCACAGGAACGTGGAGCACTTCCTCCGGTCCTGAGCTGCAGACTTCATTACAGAGAAGCTTCTAGATGTGAACTATCAGTGGAAGTAGCTTTTTCTTCACATACACTGCACTATTTAAGCACAAGGCTCTGGTTTCAGACAGAGGGTGAAAATAGGTGCTGCAGCATGAGAGAAATAAAGAGCTTTTTGAACATTAAAGCCTGGAGACATGGAGACACTACATACTGATATACACCTGAACATCAGCAGGAGAGGACTCTTTAAAGTAGAGACACTACATACTGATATACACCTGAACATCAGCAGGAGAGGACTCTTTAAAGTAGAGACACTACATACTGATATACACCTGAACATCAGCAGGAGAGGACTCTTTAAAGTAGAGACACCACATACTGATATACACCTGAACATCAGCAGGAGAGGACTCTTTAAAGTAGAGACACTACATACTGATATACACCTGAACATCAGCAGGAGAGGACTCTTTAAAGTAGAGACACTACATACTGATATACACCTGAACATCAGCAGGAGAGGACTCTTTAAAGTAGAGACACTACATACTGATATACACCTGAACATCAGCAGGAGAGGACTCTTTAAAGTAGAGACACTACATACTGATATACACCTGAACATCAGCAGGAGAGGACTCTTTAAAGTAGAGACACTACATACTGATATACACCTGAACATCAGCAGGAGAGGACTCTTTAAAGTAGAGACACTACATACTGATATACACCTGAACATCAACAGGAGAGCACTCTTTAAAGTAGAGACACTACATACTGATATACACCTGAACATCAGCAGGAGAGGACTCTTTAAAGTAGAGACACTACATACTGATATACACCTGAACATCAGCAGGAGAGGACTCTTTAAAGTAGAGACACTACATACTGATATACACCTGAACATCAGCAGGAGAGGACTCTTTAAAGTAGAGACACTACATACTGATATACACCTGAACATCAGCAGGAGAGGACTCTTTAAAGTAGAGACTCTACATACTGATATACACCTGAACATCAGCAGGAGAGGACTCTTTAAAGTAGAGACACTACATACTGATATACACCTGGACATCAGCAGGAGAGGACTCTTTAAAGTAGAGACACTACATACTGATATACACCTGAACATCAGCAGGAGAGGACTCTTTAAAGTAGAGACATTACATACTGATATACACCTGAACATCAACAGGAGAGCACTCTTTAAAGTAGAGACACTACATACTGATATACACCTGAACATCAGCAGGAGAGGACTCTTTAAAGTAGAGACACTACATACTGATATACACCTGAACATCAGCAGGAGAGGACTCTTTAAAGTAGAGACACTACATACTGATATACACCTGAACATCAGCAGGAGAGGACTCTTTAAAGTAGAGACACTACATACTGATATACACCTGAACATCAGCAGGAGAGGACTCTTTAAAGTAGAGACTCTACATACTGATATACACCTGAACATCAGCAGGAGAGGACTCTTTAAAGTAGAGACACTACATACTGATATACACCTGAACATCAGCAGGAGAGGACTCTTTAAAGTAGAGACACTACATACTGATATACACCTGAACATCAGCAGGAGAGGACTCTTTAAAGTACAGACACTACATACTGATATACACCTGAACATCAGCAGGAGAGGACTCTTTAAAGTACAGACACTACATCAATTCAAAACCTTTATTTATCCAGGTAAAATCCCATTGAGATCAATGATCTCTTTTTCAAGGGAGACCTGCAATACTAAATACTGATATACACCTGAATATGAGAACAATATGTCCTCTTTGAACAGCACCTCTACTGCCCAATAAATAATCCATAATTCTTTTTTTGTGCATTTAAACACCAAAAAATAAGGATAAAATGTACAAGCATCCAAGAGTCCA